TTCTACATCTTTGATTAAGTTTATTTCTACTGTTTTTTGTTTTCCATTTCAATTCTTGAGGGTTTTTTTGGGTAGTATTTTGATTGGGATTGTTTTTCTTAATTTCTGTTTCAGATTGTTCATTGCTAGTGTATAGAAATACAACAGATTTTTATGTGTTAATTTTGTATATGTCAACTTTGCTGAATTTATTAGCTCTAACAGGTTTTTATGGATTTTTTTAGGGTTTTATGGGCATAATATCATGTTATCTGTGGAAAAAGATATTAATAGTTTTACCTCTGCCTTTCCAATTTGGATGCCTGTTGGGGATTTTTTTAAAAACAACTTTTTAATTATTGATTTTTTTCACCCAATTGCAATGTGGTTAAAGAATATAATTTTTATGAAACTAATGCTTTTAAATTTGCTAATCATTCCTTTTATTTTCTTTACTATTTTATTTTTAAGCACCTATACATGTATCATTAAATAATATATTATTTACTTTTGAATGTTTTTGAATTTCAAATTAGTGGAATGATTACATATCATTCTGGTATTTGCTTTTCCTCCTCCTGCTAGGGACTGAATTGTATCCTTCTAAAACTCATATGATGAAACAACCCCTCGTGTGATGGTACTCGGAGATGGAGTCTTTGGGAAGTGATTAGGTTTAGATGAGGTCATGAAGGTGGGATCCTCTTAGTAAGATTATTGCCCTTTTAAGAAGGCATACTACAGAGCTTACTTTTGCCCTCTAACCCTGCCATGTGAGGACACAGTGAGAAGGTGATCATCCGTAAGAAAGAAGAGCCCTCACCAGGAACGATAGTGTTGGCACCTTAATCTTGGACTTCTAGTCTCCAGAACTGTGAGAATATAAATTTCTATTATTTAAGCTATGCAGTCTGCAGTCCTCTGTTCTGGCAACCTGAACTAAGACCTCTTCCTCTTTTCCACATTAAGTTTTAGAGCATCATTCATATTTAATGGTGTAACTTACTTATAGGACTCTGTCCCATACTATAACTTATCCATTCTGTGAATGGTGGACATTTGGGCTGTTCTCAGCTTTTTTGTTGTTGCAAACAGTGCTTTTAAGGACATTCTTCTATGTGTCTCCTGGTGTACAGGTTAAGAGTTTGTTATGAACAGTTGACCCTTGAATAACACAGGTTTGGACTGCATGGGTTTACTTATATGCAGATTTTTTTTTTTTAATAAACGACAATTTTTTAGCGATTTGTGACAATTTGAAAAAACTCACAAACTGTGTGACTTAGAAATATAGAAGAAAAGCCGGGCTTGGTGGCTCAGCCTGTAATCCCGCGCCTTTGGGAGGCTGAGGTGAGTGGATTGCCTGAGCCCGCAGGTTCGAGACCCGCCTGGGCAGAGAGACCTCATCTCTACAATAAATCAAAAAATCAGCCAGACGTGGTAGCGCATGCCTGTAATTCCGGCTACTTGGAAGGCTGAGGCGGAAGGATCGCCGGAGCCCAGCAGGTCAAGGCTGCGGTGGCTGGGAGCGGCCACTGCACTCCAGTCTGGGCGACAGAGTGAGACTCCAACTCAAAAAAAAAAATAGAAGAAAGTAAGAAAAACTTAGTTATGTCATGAGTGCATAAAATATGTGTAGATACTAGTTTATTTTATCATTTACTACCACAAAATATATATAACTATTATAAAAAGCTAAAGTTAACTAAAACGTATGCAAACACTCACATACTGTACTGGCACCATTCTCAGTCAGGAGAACTGTAAACAAATGTAAAGACGCAACATTAAATAATAAGTGCATAAAATTAACAGTAGTATATACTGTACTACTGTAATAATTTTGCCACCTCCTGTTGCTATTGCTGAGTACAAGTGTTAATGTGTATCTGCTTAAAATGCTGTGTGGTGCTAATTCTCTCATCATCAGTTGTCTCTCCACTAAGTTGCATATAGCAGTAAAAAGTGATCTCTCCTGGTTCTTGTGCATTTCTCATATTTAACTGCAATACTGTAAACCTTGAGTAACACCACAGGACCCACACAGAGTGCCACTACTGATGCTGAAGTGCTCCCAGAAACAAAGTCATGACATTAGAAGAAAAAATTGAATTGTTTGATATATTCCTTAGGTTGAGGTCTGCAGCTGTGGTTGCCCACTATATCAAGATAAATGAATTCAATGTAAAGGCAGTTGGAAAATAAGAAAAGGAAATTTGTGAAATTTTCTTTGCATCATTGCATCTGTGCTGGCAGGCAAAAAAGCCTTGCACATTTTGTGTAATACATATTTATCTTGCATTGAAAATTTAGCTTTTATGTGGGTGCAGGATTGCTATAAGAAAGGCATATCTAGGGCCTCCCAGCTCCCAATATACCCCAAAACACCTAGGGGGGAAAAAAGGCATATCTATAGATTCTAGTATGATTCCAGAAAAAAGCAAAGTTATTATATGACAATTTAAAGCAAAAGGAAGGTGAAGAATCTAAAGCTGGAGAATTTAATGCTAGCAAAGAATGGTTTGATAATTTCAGAAAGAGGTTTGGTGTTAAAAATGTCAGGATAACAGGAGAAGCTAGGGATTGCCTACCAAAAAGCAGCAGAGTTCCCAAATGTCATTAAGAAATTCATTGAGGAGAAAGTATGTCTGCCTGAATAGATTTTTCATGAAGACGAAAGTGCTTTATTCTGGAAAAATAATACCATAAAGGACATTTTTTAGGAAGGAAGAGAAGCAAGCACCAGGATTTAAGTCAGGAAGGGATAAACTAACTCTGTTATTTTGATCAAATGTATTCAACTTTATGACCAGGACTGCCCTTATCCCTAAAGCTACTAACCCTGAGCCTTGAAGGGAAAAGACAAGTGCCAGCTGCCAGTCTCTTGATTATACAAGAAAGCCTAGACAAGGAGAACTTTTTTTTTTTTTTTTGGTTCATCAATACTTTGTACCTGAAGTTAAGAAGTACCTTGTCACCAAAGTTCTTTTGTTATTGGACAGTGCCCCTGTTATCCCAGAATTCCATAAGTTTGACACCGAAAGCATTAAAGTGGTCAACTTGCTCCCAGACAGTCTCTAATTCAGCCTATAGATCGAGAGTCATAAGGACCTTTAAGGCTTATTACATAGGGTACCCTATAGAAAGGATTGTCAACACTATGGAAAAGAACCCTAATAGAATATCTGAAAGTCTGGAAGGATTATATCCTTGAAATTGCACTTGTTCTTATAGAAAAAGCCATGAAAGCTATCAAGCCCAAAACAATAAATTCCTACTGGAGAAAATTGTGTCCAGATGTTATACATGACTTCACAGGATTTACTACAGAGTCAATCAAGGGAATCTTAAAGAGATTGTGGATAAAGTAAAAAAGATAGTGGGGTGAAGGGTTTCAAAATATGGGTTTCAAGAACTCATAGACAGCACACCAGAGGAATTAACAGAAGAGGACTTGGTGGACAGGAGTGCTTTTGAATCAATGATAGGTGATGATGAGGAAGAAGACATGGAAGAAAGCAGTGCCAGAAAACAAATTGACATTAGGACTGACAGAAGCATCTGATTATTCAAGACTGCTTTTGACTTATTTTATAACATGGACCCTTCTATGACATGGGCACTGAAACTAAAGCAGATGGTGGAATATGTATATATAAATACTTTTAGATAAATGAAAAATTAAGAGTTAGACAGAAATTATAGAGTATTTCCATGAAGTTACAGCCTCCTCTTCTGCCTCCTCCTCTTCCACCTGGAACAGTAAGACATACCCCTCCTCTTCTGCCTCTTTAGCCTGCTTAATGTGGAGATAAAGATGAAGTTTTTGTTTCCATCTAATGAATAGTAAATACATTTTCTCTATCTTATGGTTTTCTTAATAACATTCTTTCCTTAGCTTACTTGATTGTAAGAATACCATATATAATACATGTAACATGCAAAATATGTTAATTGACTGTGTTATCAGTAAGTTCTCTGGTCAACAGTAGGCTATTAGCAGTTACATTTTAGAGGAGTCAAAAGTTATACGTGGATTGTCAGTTGTGCGTGAAATCAGAACACCTAACCCCTCTGCGTTGTTCAGGAGTCAGCAATCTGTGTAACTGCCAGTGTTCAATTGTTTTTGATCTTCAAAAACAGTGGTTTCATATATTTTAGAATCGTGTCTAGGAGTGAAAGTACTGGTTAATAAAACTTTCCCCAAGTGATCGTACATTTACCATCCCACTGTTGGGACTGAGAGTTTCTCTGGCTCTACATATTTGGCAACATTTGATATTTCATATTTTTACACTTTTGCAAATATGGTGCATGTGAAGCTATCTCATTATTATTTTAATATGTATTTTTCTTAATTACTGTTGGGGTTTAGCATCTTTTCATTTGTCTATGGACCGTTACATTTTCTTTTCTGTGAAATTCCTATTCATGATTTTGCTTATTTTTCTATTGCATCATTTGAGAAGCTGACTCTTACTGGGATATGAATTGCTTGGTTGAGTTTAATAAATATTTGTTTAGCCAGTTTATGGCTTTAGGTCATGTTTATGTACAGGTGAGTAAGATGGATCATCTTACCTCAGTCTGCATTTAGTAAAGGTTAGACTTAATTGCAGGTTCCACATTTGTTTCTTCCATTCAAATATAGATTAGCTATATGAATTATTTATAACTATACTTCCTTGATTCAGTTTACTCATTTGTAAAACAGTTGGCTTTGACTAGTTAATATCTACCTTCTCTTTTACTAGTATATGTAATTCATCTAATTTTTTTGTTGGTATTTGAAACTTAGAAATATGTTACTTTCATTGTAGTGTTAAACTATAAAGAATTGGGTTTTTTCCTTCCTTTTTTATCATTTGCTTCTGTAACATGTAATTTAAGTCAGTTCTTCAAGAATCCCTCTCTTAGATGGATTTCCCAGACCTATATTACTACCTTTTATTTTTAAAATTCCTAGAATGCTATTAAACCTATAAACTCAATCCTGATGTATATGAATTATTCTTTCTCAGAGTGAAGATACACAACAGCAAATCATCAGGGAGACTTTCCATTTGGTATCTAAGAGAGATGAAAATGTTTGTAATTTCCTAGAAGGAGGATTGTAAGTAATGCATTTTGTAGACATTTCTAAGTTTTCACTGTATGATTAAAATATGTATTGAATAAATACTGTTTTAAAATATGAATTATATAAAGTATTAAATACTGTTTAATCAATTTATGGTAAAATTTTCCTAATTTTGATTAATTGAATCAGATGAATTGCTACCCGGGTTAGCTGTAAATCTAACTTAGGTAATTATTTTTAAAGCTATGCAATCTTTTTTTTTTCTTTTTAAAGATTTCATAAGAGCATTTTATATAAAGGCAGTATAGTTATATGGTAAAAATTCAAACATTATAGGGAAGTGTAAAATGTAAAATAAGAATCTCCCAACCTTAGTCCTTCTCCCCAGTTTCTTAATGTATCCTTCTAGAAAATTAAGTTTGCCTTGACTAACATATAAAAGTATAACCTTAAAAAATTTTACTTATGAGATGACACAATGTATGCTCATTTGCATGTTGCTGTTTTTTACTTAATATTTAGAAAATCTTTGCATATAAGCACAACTAGAGTAACTCATTCTTTTTAATGACTGCAGAGTATTCCTTACTGTATATGTTCCTAAAAATTTGGATTATAGCTTATATTTTACTATTACAAACAAGACTGAAGTCTGTTTTTACATTTATAATATACACATCTATATAATTTTTCTATTTTTAAAATGAATAAGAATAACTTAAAATTAGTTTGCCAGATACTATTAAAAGTACTTTAAATTAATGAGTTTCAGGAAAACAGTTTGTTCTCAAAGGTTTTCATTAATGTCTCCTCCTCTGTTTATATCATTAATACACTTAAGATATTTTCTAATTGAGAATTCAAAAACTAAACTTTAACTGAGACTTACTGTGAATCACAGATCAGAGAAACCTAGACTTTTTGTATTTTAGTGTGTTTGATGCATATTATAAGAAATAGTTTGAAGAACAGGGAATTCATTGTTATAAGTTTTTTTTTATCATGTGGAATGCTTACTTTTGTTTCCTAAAAGGTTATATCATGTTGCACTTAAGTGTGCAATGCACACTTATACATTTTGCTGTTAACTCAAGGCTTCTAATTTAATAATTGAGACAATTGTACCTGCTTTTGCTTTTGAATATTGCTTGTACTTTACTTGTACTGTTAAACTTTCCTGTGCGAATTTAGTTGTCTTTGCCATTATTATTACTTGGTCTCATCCCAACCTTGGAATTTCTTATCTCCTAGGAAACTTAATCACCCAGCACAGAGCAATGCATGTAGTAGACATGCAAGAACCTGATTGATCTAACTAGGGTGCCATTTGGACTAGAAATTATGACTTGAAATTGTGATTGTTCTTTTCTAATCTTATAAAAAATAGAAAGCAAATATTGTATGAGATGAAGCTATACATCTAGTTTTATTCCTAGTTTTGTCACTAACAAGCTGGTGTCCTTGGTCTAGTTATGTAAATTTTTGGACCTCAGTCTTCTATGTGAAGTGAGATATTTGGGTTAAGAGATTTTCTTAAATTCTGTGGATTTTTTTAGACGGGATCATGACAATAAATCTTTCCAGAACTTAAGAAATGTCATTCTTTTTTTTTTTTCTAGTTGGTAATCAGTCTTAAGCTGTGTAATTTACTGTGACCTATGGAGTTAAATCTAGTAAGCACTTACAAATGCCCTATGATCTAATTTCTGCCTACTTCTCTGACTTTGTTTACTAATCTTTTCTTGCCCACTGGCCTTTTCTCTTCCTTGAACCTACATATTTTATTCTTGATAAGATGACCTTTTTATTAGTTGTTGCCTTAACCTGAAATGCTCTTCTGAATTTTTTCATGGCCAGCTCCTTATCATCAAATTTCAGCTTAAGTGTCACTCTTTCTTAACGCACAGTCTGCAGTAGCAAACCCATCGATATGACATCATCGTATTTTGATTCTTTATGCAGCTTTTTCCACTATCTGATAATTTTCTGGTTTTTTTGTTGCTCTTACCTCACTATCAGTGCCTGGCACATAATAGCTACTCAGAGAATAGTTTAATGAATGAACGAACTAAAATTAAGAAGTAGCTTCTTTTATTTGATATTTCTGAAGAAAATAGCCATTTTACTTAGTCTCTGAATAAGTTCACTCAAACACTGTGCCACTAAAAGTCACCTTTCATTTTACAAAAGGTTTTTAAACAAATTGTCCATTTGCTTGAGCTAATGAAAATGTTTTACATTTTGTTTCCATTAACATTCAATTGTTTTGTTCTATCATTTAGATTAATTGGAGGATCTGACAACAGACTGATTTATAGACATTATGCAACTTTATATTTTGTCTTCTGTGTGGACTCTTCAGAAAGTGAACTTGGCATTTTAGATCTAATTCAAGTAAGTTAACACTTGCCTCTTACTATCTTAAATGAAAATTTGGCATTTATATTTTTTAAAACATATGTTTTAAAATTTCTAAAATGTTTTGTTAAATAAAGTGTTTTATAGTAAATATTATGTAGGTAAAAGAGGGACAAGAGATATAGAAACAAGTAAACTATAAGATAATCTGATTAAGACGAATCACAACTATTTTTATCATGCCCCTTTTCCCTATTCATGTAAGTTACTGCACAGAGCCCACGACTTAAGAGTCTCTTACCACATGTATCCAAACTGACTCTAAAACCTACCTCTTCCTGTCTCCCGAAAATTTTTCATGATGTCCCTGAAACTCAAGGTCAGTCATCAGCAAATTCCTTTTGATCTGCAGCCTCTTCTGTAACGTTACTTCACCTTTTTGCTCTAAGTTAAATATCTTTCTTCCCCAGTGATATGACCTGCAGCCTTTTCAAATACTAGCCATTTTCTCTCTGGCTTCTTCACACCATTGAACCTGTAAGTGTTCTCTTGGCTTCTCATTGCTTTTACCAGACCATCCTTTCCTCTTTTATCTCATGTTCTCAAACTTTTCCACCTTCTACCCTTCTAGTCACAGTCATCAGTCATCTCCACCTCCCATTCATTGGAGATTTTGTTAAGAACTGTGAAAGGTCTGAGATTTTATACTTTTTACAAGCTAACAAGTTAGCCTGCCACAGTTTCATGGAAGCTGGCAAGACAGGTGACTTCTGGGCCTGAGAAAAAGGACCTTATTACTAACAGCAAAAGCATTAGCTAAAGTAATAGCATTTGCTTACATTGATTCCTCAGTTCCCAAAGGGTGACACGAAGAGGGCCAGGTGATAACTGCACACATAGTGGATTGATTTACAGATGAGGAATCCCAAGCTTAGGGAATCGGTATTTTTTTTTAAATGAATACTAAACATGTCTGCCCTTGTCCAGGAGGAAGAGACTGTCTGTTGCTTCCAACCTATCATTTGCTGTGGAAGAAGACAGTCTATTTTCCAGGGTTGTTTCTTATACAAACGTGCTTAAAAAGATTGTCCAGAACGAAGAATTCAGTGTGTCTGCTCAAATATGTACAGAAACCTGGGGTCCTTGAAAAATTATCTTCTAGCAGATTTTGGTTCTTAGTTTACTGACATTTGCTCCAATACTGCTTGTTTTATAATTCTTGGTGATTTCATTGTTCACATGTAAAATTCTTTCAGTATCCTGGTGTCTTTAAGTCTGAAACTCCTCTCCCCCAGTGAATTTGCTGTATACCTCCCCTCACTATGTATCTATTTCTAGACTTTATCTAAACAGCAACCCTTCCATAATCTCAGTTTTGTAGTTTTCTCTCTCTGCCACATCTTATCTTTTCTTATCAGTATTTCTGTTACTCTAAAAAGACTTTGTGCCTATTGGAACCCTCAGTTTTTCAAATCTGTTATTTTTTCACTGTACCTGTTTCTATGAATGTCTTACTTCCCTTATCCAGCTTAAATTCCATGGTCAGTCATGTTAATCATTGCTTTGTATAAACTCAACTCCCTATCTGTACCCATACATCTGAGGGAAAAAAATATAACAGTATTTACTAGTCTCATTTTAAATTCATGATCCCTTAGCTCAGTGAGTCCTTAATGCTACCCAGCAATCATTTTCTGTTTCTCTGGTCCATTTACTCTTCCATACTCTTAGGTGACACCTGATACAATCTCTCTCTTCAGACCTCTAGCACTTCTAGCCTCTTGCTTCCTACTTCACATATAAAACTGAAGCAATTAGTAGAAGAGGACTTCCATACACTCCCACTGTCTGCCTGTCTACAGTTGTGCCAATGTGCTCTATTGTGTCTTTTTTTTTTTTTGACAGCATCTTATCTTACTCTGTATCCCAGGTTAGAGTACAGTGGCATAATTTAGCTCACTACAGCTTCTGACTCCTGGGATCCTTCCACCTCGGGCTTCTGAGTAGCTGGGATTATAGGCACATGCTACCATGCCCAGTTAGGTGTTTTATATGAAGGCTGAACTCACCATTCTCCCAGCTAAGGCCAGCCCATCTACTTATATATTAGTATCCACCTCCTCATTTCTCTAGCAATTCTCCCCCTTTCTTCGCTGTTATTGTTTTCTCCTCTGTCTTCTAGATCATTCTTGTCAGCTTACAATATGTTCTCTCAACTTTAAAAAAAAAAAATCTGTCCTTACTTCCTTCTCCAGCTACTTCCTCATTTTTCTCCTTCACTTTATAGCAAAATGCTTTTTTTAAAAAAAAAGTATGCAGACTGTCTCCAGTTTTTCTTTATCTATTCTCTCTTGAACCCATTCCCATCAGGTTTTTAGCCTTATTGTTGCTGAACCCAAGGATGCTTACCACTTCTCTTTATTTTATTAAGATTGTTGATCACTCTTCTCCATGAAATACTTTCTTCACTTGGCTTCTAGGACAATGTACTTGCCTAGTTTTCATAGTACCTCTTTAGTTACTTTATTTTGGTTTTCTGATCTCTCCTACCTCTAGATGTTGATAATGCCTCAGGGTCAGTCCTTGGATGTCTTCTCTTTTTTGGATCTATTCATTTGCTAGGGGATTTTTCTTCAGATGTTATCTATATATTGATGATTCCATAATTTGAATCTTTAATTCAGATCTTTTCTCTTAAATCCTGACTTGATTACCCAACTACCTAGTGTACCTTTCCACTTGGGTTTCCAATAAAGACCTCAAACATGAGCTGGGCTTGGTGGTTCAGACTGTAATCCCAGCACTTTGGGAGGCCAAGGCGAGTGGATTGTCTGAGCCCATGGGTAGAAGACCAGCCTGGGCAACTTGGCAAGACCTCGTCTCTACAATAAATCAAAAATTAGCGCATGCCCGTGGCTACTGGAAAGGTTGAGGTGGAAGGATCACCAGAGCCCAGCAGATCAACGCTGGGGTGGCTGTGAGCATGGCTATGAGCACTCCAGTCTGGGTGACAGAGTGAGATTCCAACTCAAAAAAACAAAACAAAACAACACAAAAACTCAGACATAATGTGTCCTAAGCTAAGGTCTGGATAGTTCATCAAAAATCTGTACCTCTTGAAGTCTTCCCCATATCGGTTAATGACAACTTTAGTCTTTCATTTGACCCATCCAAAACCTGGATATTTGTCCCTGACACTCTCATTTTTGGTCCCCACATGTGCTTCTTCAGCACACCCTATTGTATATGGAGAACTTCCCACTATTAACCTCTCCACTGTCAGCACTCTCGTCCAAGCATCGTCAGCTCTTGCCTGTATTATTAGTTTTCTGACTGCTCTCTCTGCTTCTATTTTTTTCCTTTGGTCTTTTCTTAATGCAACAGCCAGGTGATACTGTTAAAATCTTTTATATCTTTCACTCTTTCATTCTGAACTCTTCAGTGTCTTCCCTTTTCATTCAAGGAAAAACCAAATTCTTTACGAAAGACCCATGAGGCCTGACATGTTCTGAAATGCCCCCTACCCTTTATTTCTCATTTTACCTTTTACTCCTTTCCCTTTTACTTGGCCTCCTTGCTTTTCTCAAGTATAACAGGCATTTGTCCATCAGCGCTTTGATACTTGCTAATTTTTGTCCCTAGAATGTTCTTCCAATTGATATTCTCATCTAACTCCATCATTCTTTCAGGTCTTGACCCAAAAGTCACTTTCTCCATATGATATTCTTTGGTCATCCTTTCTAAAATCTCTCTCTCTCTTTGACATATACTAATCCCTTTCTTGCTTTATTACTTTTTCCTTAGCATCTGTCACTATCTAATATACTAAATATTTGACTTACTTTATCTTATTTATTGTCATCAGCCCTTTCAAGGTTATAGGCTCTATGAGAGCCAGAATTTTTGTTCGTTTTATTCACGGATTTACCCCCAGTTCATAGAATGGCACCTGGCACACAGTAATAGATCCTTAATAGATAATTTTGAATGAATGTATTTAATGCATTTTATGTAAAATAACTGGCAACAAAGCCCAAAGGTTAATTAAAAGAAGAGTTGGCTAGAAAAATAAAATATAATAGTTACTAAATGGTAATAATGTTTTTTGTTTTTGATTTGAGGTGCTGGTTACATTGGTGTATTTAATTTGTGAAACTCAAGCTCTATATACACTTATTTTTGTGCTTTCTGTTTTTGTGTAATACTTTAGAAAAAGTTAAATTAACTCTGTCACAATACTTGCTACAAATAATTGTACTGGATTAAGATTATCATGAGGGAATGTACTGAATTTATGTTTTCTTTCCCTTTCTGGACAGTGAAAAAACATAGGGGCATGATGTAGGTAAGTTGTAAGTTGGAAAAAGCTGGATGTAAAAAGGAAGTTTTCTTTGTCAAACAAGTGTTAGGTTTTTTAAATCAACAAGAAGAAGACATGGTTTGACCTCTAGCTAGTGTTATAGAATAATGAGAAATTGACCCAAGCAGAAAACTTAGGTCATAAATTCTGAGTACTGTGGCTAGATTAAGTCTTTAGAAATTAAAAAAACAATTGCTACTAGAGTAAGAAAAAAAAAAGGCAAGTGATAAATGGAGCTATTATATGCCACATTACTATTAAATCTGTAATTAAACTGAGTTTTCAGGAGGAGCAACATGAAACCACAAAGTAATCATGGCAAACATTCCTGGTATGTTTTTTTCTTTGTTTTAAAAATTGGTGGCTGTGAGGAAATGAAGATAGATATGTATATATTATGAGGTAGAATATGCTTTTTTCATAATATGCAAAGCCCCAAGTGGAGACTTCCGATAAATATTGAACTTGAGGTGAATATGCCCCAAGATTCCTTGGATGTGTGTTCACTTTCCTGCTGGGGACTACCTGAGAAACATTGCTAAGTTTTATTTTGTTTTCCCAAAGGCTTTTCTAGTAAAGAAAGAGAAGCCAACTTTTACTTTTGTTAGTAGTTAAGGGTTGATCAGGAGTGTATATTGCGTTGCCTTCTAACTTTGTTCATTATTACCTTTCTTGG